ATTTATTATTTCTTTATTATTTATTACTTTCATCTGTATTATAGGTATTACGTGATATTACTCATATCACGTATAGTCTTAGCTATTTTGAAGTAAATCCCTTATTACCTATTACATTTGAGATCGAATCGTAAACTGTCGCTTGAAAATAGTGCTGAATGTGATTTTTATGCGAATGTGGCTCTAGATGTAATGCATTTCAGTGACGGGGCACAGCTGGTAAATAAAACTGAAAGAAACTTTGCGCATTAGTTGGCCAGAGTTAGCGTCCGAGCCAGCGCCAGTTGGTCCGGCCAAGTCCGAGCTTGATGCCAGCGCCCCTCTCCCTCTTTCCCCTTGCCCTCTCCGTGGAACTTTTGCATTTGATTTCGGCACAAGAAATGAGCAAATGGCCTTATATGTCAATGATTTTTCTTCACCCACGTCTTCTGATGGCGCCAACAACTGCACTGGCTAACAGATAACATGAGCTGGGGCCAACGTGTGTGTGGGCCAGGGGGGAGAAGGGGCAACACTTTCTTGACGCCTTGCAACCAACAATGCTAGCCAAACAGATGGCGCTGAATTGGTGTAAGGACTCGTTGCTCTGCCAAAAAGTCCTTACCGTTGGTCTAGGGATTTTTTTTTTAATTTTCTCCACACACACACCCACACACACACACACACATACTGACAGACATGGAGGGACACACATTTAGATTATACACCCACACGAGCTGCTGCACCTCCCCTTTGCTGTTATTATTTTGGCTTCCATTTATTTGCTGTCAATGTTTCGACTGCCTGCCGCCTGTCCAGCCCGCCCGAGGGCTACGTCCGCTGCTCGCATTTCCTCGCTATTTTCTATTTTTCGTTTTTCTTTTACTTTTTTTACTTTTTGCTATCATTTTCATTTTAAAATGTCGCTCAGAGCAACGTCATGGACGGCAACGCCTCCTAGAGGTCAGCGTCAGCTCCTACGCCCCGCTATTCGCCGGCCGTCCCTTTTTTCTGCTGGGCCCCAGTGCCCCGTCACCTAGTCCTAGTCCAAGTCCCAGCCCGCCGACTGCTGCTGCTTCTTCTAGACATTTGGGGCTGGCCACTTTATAAATGTTTCTGCAACGGATTTTGCAAAGTAAACTTTTTCGCCTTTGTAGTTTGTTTTTTTGCGTCTCTCAACCACAGGAAGAAGCAGACGACGAGGACGGGAGCAAATAATATATTAAAATGCAAACCCAACTCATATTACCGAACTGAACCAGCGCGAACTGGCCCACAAAAAAAAAAAAAAAACAACTGTACTGGACCGGCTTGTTGGCACGGTTAGTGAGGGGCGAGCGAGGGGTAGGCGGGCTCTCTAGCTCTCAAGTCCTTGCGCACACATGTGCGCAATTTCCAAGTCCGTTTCGGCTATTGCCAATGTCTTCAAATAAATCGAATGCACAAAAAAGCAATAAAATGAAATAAAATCTAAATATATGTATGCATGTGTGTGCCGCTGAGGAGTGTCGTCCTTTTTGTAGTTGTCCTTTCGTGTCTACTCCAAACGAGCTCCTGGAACGGAGGCGGACAGCTAATGACAAAGAACAACAAACAGAATAGAACCGAACCGAACCGAACAAAACGGGAAAAAAGAAGAAGGCAAAGGAACTTATCATTTTTATCATTGCACAAAACTTTATCCTTTTCAGCTCGGGCCGTTAATATTTTCGTTTCTAAATGCGAAATGGCCGAGTCGAAAAGTCCCAATACCAATACCAATACCAAGTACAGCCTAGTGCCAACACGTTACCGCTGTCCGGAATTTCAAATGACTTTTCCCTCAGCGTGTGTGTGATGTGAGGGCGTGCAAGTCCGAGGCTTATTGAATGTTTATGCTTTATTAAATTTGATTTCTTTGCAGCTCGGAGTCAAAGCAAGCAGGGCAGCTGCGACGACTGTCCGCCCGTCCGACCGTTCGACAGACCCATCGACCCATCGACCGACCAACTGGTTTACAAACCCATCGTCTGGTCCTTCGAGCCAGCAACTAACCAAACAGCCGGTCAACATTTGCTGCAATGATCTATGTGCGCTGAATATTAAATGGCCTCGCCGGCTTAGCGACGCTCTAGTCCCAGCTCCTCCCGGTTATGCCTCAGCCCGCATTAGGTGGACGATGTCTTAGGCTCAGGCTAAGGCACCATTATCATTTTAATGCGCGATAAATGCGACATTTGCGACGTTATACAAAGTGCGTGTAATGTGCTCGACTACCCAAAGCCAGAGCGGGGGCGGGAGAGGGAGAGGGAGCGGGAGAGGGCGTGCGTGGGCTGGCAACGTCGACGAATTCTTGACTTCGGAAAACGGAACGGAACGATTCATATTTGTAAACGGGTTTTGCCACAAGCATCCGGCTGTGCTTACGCCAATGGCAAACCCCAACGCCCACGCATAATATCGAATGGTAATCATAATCATAATAATAGTAATAGTAATAGTAATAGGAATAACAATAATAATTCGAAACATTTGCACATACGTAAATGAACATTACGGCCGTTCGCCTACCCCCGGAATATGTTTATAATCACACGCCAAATGTCCCAAACAGCAGTTGTCCAGGCCGGAAAAAAACACAAAAACTTGACTCGTTGTTTGGGCCCCTAATGCGACACGTGGCCCGCGCATATTTCTTCACACTCCGAGCCGATTGGCAGCGATTGGTATTTAGAATTGGAGTGTGGCTCCCTCACTCTTTATGGTTAGTGCTAGTTCCACGTGGGTGATGGGTCTAATGATTGCCTGCGTTTTGGTAACTCGTTAGGCGTGATATGAGCTTTATGTGTTTGTGTTTATCTGCCGAAATGGCTGCGATAAGTGTTATCGCATTAGCGCATTATCGATAAACTTATATTACGACTCGGTATTTGTGAGTTTCGCTGCGCACAACTTAAATGAGAATTAACTAAAATTGATCACTATTTATAGTAGTTTGTTCGTATGCAACTGATAATTGATAATGATTAACAATAAACCGATAACAATCGATATACAGCGCACTTAACTAAACTTATATGTACATCTTTAATAATTAGTTCATTAATTTTGAGTTCACTTTTGTTCTTTGGCCAATTGTTTGTCGAATTGTGAATGCTCTGCCGTTTATCGGTTTATCGATAGCTATCGATAGATTAGTAACGAGCTTGTAGCAAATGCAAATCATACGCAAATCCTCGCGTCAAACGAAATCATACACAAGAGGCAAATATCCAATAAGATACGAGTATATATAGATAGAGAATTAGGGAAACTTCAATCGATCTTTCGACTTACCAAAATCACTGCCGCCTAGGCCGGAAGGTCCTGGCAGCAGGCCGGGTATGCCCTGCAGGCCGAGGAATGCATTTGGAAAGGAGTGCGAGCGCTGATTGTCCATGCCATCGAGAGTGCCGTCGTGGTGGCCATCGCCACGATCCGAGGGTTCCGTATCGCTGCTATTGGAGTCCTCGCCGGCGCTCTGGCCGAGATCGTGTTTCTGCAAAGAGTTCACGGAAAATTGCCAGCTCGCAAAGGCATATGTTCAATGCGAATCAACGCTCCACCCACCTGATTGGCCTGCTGTCCGTTGCTGTTCTCCAGTGCCTGGCCGAGCAGAGACTCGCGCAGCTCCAGGTTGCGATCGCGATCCTTGGACGTGTCGCGGCTGCGGTTGCGCGTCAATGGATGTTGCCCCGCCACGGGAAAGTCGCGATCGATTAGCAAACGCTCCGGACTGATGCCGTGCTGTGCCCGAAACAGATCCGCGCTCTTGATGCGCTTCTGTGGCGGCGGTGTCAGGTGACTCTTGCGACTGCCCTCCATGTCGCTCAGATCCCAGTGGTTGTTGCTGCTGGCCTAGAGTGGATGGAATGCACAGAGGGAATTCGAATTGGGAAATTAGTTAGGCTTGTGACCCGTCGCAATCGGAATGCATGCGAGCGACTTTACTTTGCTTGGATTGGGATTTGAGTTTCTTACGGGCGACGCTGCGGATGCCTTCAGCTCCTGGATGGCGGGCGTGCCGCTGCTGCTGCTGCCGCTCTGTGCTGCGCCCGACTCCCGCTGGCCCGCCTGACCCTGGCTGCTCCCGCTGCTCAGTGGCAGGCTGGCAGCGGCCGCCGCAACGGCTGCCGTCAGCGAGGCAGCGGCAGCAGCTACCGCACTGGATGCCGACCCTGTTGCCGGCGTCTGTGGAGTGCTAAATGTCGAGCTCTGGCTCTGGCTCTGGTTCTGGTTCTGGTTCTGGCTGTGGCTCTGGTTGTGGCTGTTGTTGGCGCTGGCGCTGCTGTTGCTGTTGGCATTCAGCGCTGTGGGTAAATAGTTGCTAATTTTGTTGTTGTTGTTACTGCTTTCTGCATTATTATTGTTGTTGTTGTTGTTGTTGTTGCTGCTACTGTTGCTGCTGTTGCTGAGTGCCGCGGAGAGCGCCTTCGAGTAGGGATAGCCGCCGTTGACATCCGCCAGGCCGCGTATCTGCAGCAAGTGCGCCGTCTTCAGAAAGTCCGGCAGCTGCTCATGACTCACATTCACCTCGCCATTGTACATGAAGCTGCGAAGAGATTTTAATTACGATTTACAATAGCGCAGCAAGTAAAGTCGAGACTGCTCAACTAGTAGATAACCTCGCTACCTTGAAGAACTTTTCTTATAATTTCAGTTTCTGCATCAGACTTTTAGAGCTTAATAATGATATTCATATGAGTATACTAGATAAGGCAGAAGTCTCTGATAGATTAAAATGTAAAAATATAAGAAATTCACTGTAGTTCTTTAATCACAGACTTTTACTACCATAAGTTACGCTTAAAAATCAAAGCCAAATTATCGATTTTTATCGATAACAACATTCTACCATGAACGATCGAATATAAATTAGTAATACCCATACTCCTTATGGTCTACACATTAAATTTGAAGTGTCTTGCTCTTGTGGTTTACGAGATTTCGGCGTTTATACAGACAGATGAACGTACAGACAGATAGGCGGGTGGACGAATGAAGAAACTAACGCATAGATGGGCAGAAAAGTCAACCCTTCGTCTAAATCGAAAACATATGCACTTTATCGGACTACCCCAGCTCCCACTGCCTGTTACATGCTTTCTCACACAGGCATTGCACCGACTTCCCGTTTTCAACGGGCTCAGAACTTCATTAATGTCGAAAATTCTTCAGATTGTACTCACCTCAGCAGGTTCTCAACATCGTCGCTGCGCACATCGCGCAATATGACAATGGGATGCTCACAGGGATTGGCCTTAAGCAGCTTGCGAAAGTAGGGACTGCAGGCGCTGAGAACAACCTTGTGTGCGGTGAAGGAGCGCTCGTCGCAGGCGAGCGTCACATCCACGAAGTCCTCCTCGTCCCGCAAGTGCCGAAACGAGCTGAGTATTGACGTTTGAAAATCATTCCATTTAAGCGCATAATGCTGCTGCTGCTGCGACTGCTGCTGCTGCTGTGGCAGGGGCGGCGTTGCTGGGGATAGCGCCGTGCCGGCGCCAGCGGCTGCTGTAGAGGCCAGGGCGTGCGTGTGCGAGTGGGTGGAGGTCGCCAGTGGCGGTGGCTCCATTTTGACCACGCCCGCGTTGTTATTCTCCGCCGTTTGCAGCTGAGTGGACTCGGTCATTTATAGGAACTTGTGCCGTGTCCTTGACTCTTTCGTTTACTTCGGCCGCTTTGTATGTCTGCCTAATGTCCTAATGGGCTCGATCCAAGCGCGCTTTGTTGCCGAATCCTATTTCCTAGTCTCTATTGTATTGTGAACGTATGTTTGCTCGTGTGCAGCTTTGTGTGGAGATTCGCAAATATTTACAGTGCCGTTCCGCCAATCTTGATGCTTACTACTGCTGCTGCTCCAGCTGCTCCTGCTCCTGCTCCTGCTCCCTTGTGCTGCTAATTGGGCGAAAGTTGTGGCAATCTCTGACGGCCTTTGTCCATTTTCACCGGACTCTCTCACTCGGTGCCTCAACCATGGACGGAACGTTTACAGAGTCGGGCCGGTTTGGGTTGAGCTGGGGGCAGCGCTTCTCTCTCTCTCACTCTCTCTCTCACTCTCTTGCTCTCTCGCTCAGCTGTTGTACACTGTAAAGATAGATAGAAACTCATGAGTCTTCGGCTCATTTCAGGTTCAATTGCCACCGTCCACAGCATGAAGTGCGGCAGGTGGCCCCGCTCAGCAGCATTGGTAGCCCCATCATTAAATACTATTACCAATTATTCATACTTAAGCACCGAGACGACGACGCTGGCGGCTGATGGTTGCCGATTGCCTCTTACCAATTGCCCAGTTGTTCAGTTGTTCAGTTGTCCAGTTGTTCAAGTTGTTCAGTTGTTCGTTTGGTCAGCTCAGTTCAGTACGGCGGCCCTCCGCGGTGTCTAATGGAATCATTAATTACGCGAGCGCACCGAGCGGGCCACTTGTCGGGGGCATTAGACGCAAATCAATTTAATTTAACCGTTTACAAGCAGCGAACCAGCGCACTTTCCCCCGACTCCGACCTCTACACACGAGTAGAGTTCGAGCTACAAGCCGAAGAAATACAATGTAATTGTATAAGATCATTAGCTCTTTGCACCACGTCGCGCTGCAGGTTGTGGCTGAGGTACTCGCTGACTGGGAGAGTACGTGAACCGACGCCTCTACCGGAGAGGCCTCAGAGTCTGGATCAGAATCGGAGATTCAGCGAGACCTGATCGATGTGTGCTGCCTTCATAATATTTATAAACCCATTCATCTACCCCAGACTTGGCTCACGATTATGATCTTCGGCACAATGCGAGCGGCACGCCCCTCTATCAAAATAATAATCACAGAAGCCTAATGCCACAAACTTTTCGATTGCAATTGGCGCCTGCATTTTGTGGCATGCTCATTTTTCATGCCACAGTCAACTTGGAATTTCCAACTTGGAAAGTCAGTCGTGGGTTCCTGTCTACTCTTTTGTTTCTATCTGCTTTTGGGCTTCTTCTTGTGTTTACATCTTCGTCGGGTGCTCGCTGGCCCCGGGACTTGATTAATGATGCGCTGCTTGAAATTCGATTATGAACATCATGTAGAACTAGATTTATGTACACCTGTCTTGGGACCTCAAAACTATTGAAATCCAATTGAAATTCATTAAAACAGATCAACGACTGAGGGACCTCAGCATATTCTAATTTCCAACTGGGTTGAAGGAGCAGTTGTAATTCTCTATATGTGACTGTATCTCCTCCCCCGTCCCCATCTCCCGGCCGCTGTCTCTGCTTTTGCGCTAATTTATGAAGTAACCCAAAACAATTTCATCATAACACACTTGCCGACAATTATTTCGTTTATTGAACAAACATTCGCGTCGTATCGCATAAATTCGAAAGGGCGACAGCAACAACAATAACTAAACAAACCCGACCCCATATATACAGTAGAGCCAGGACAAAAACAAGTACGAATGCTCAAATGGGGTGTAAGCAACTGAAGAATACCCGTGCAGAGGCCAAAACAGTTCTATTTGATCAAATAACGGGTGGTAAAAATAAAAAAAAACCATGACTATTTATCTATATGTAGTGTTAAAATCCTAACTCTATATTTATGGCCAATAGAGCTATTTCTGTTTTGCCACGCCCTAAAGAGGCATATAATTATCTATTTTAGTCCGTCAATCGAGTAGATCAACAGCAAGTCACTTTTCAAATTTTATAGTTCTGGCTTTTCTAGTTCTACTATTTCTATATACATATCTTATATCACCAATAGATATTTCCACCTGGCTCTCGCATTAACAACTCAACAGCTCTACGCATTAATTTGCACCAAACCAATATACTCGCTCTCTCATTGAGCGGGTATACAGCGAAAAAAAAACAACAACGCGCAGCCGGTTGGTAACCAGAAAAATATGTAAATGTAAACGAAAAAGAAATATAGTCAGATATATACACATAATATTTATTATACATATATAGAGGATGATATCTACACCTGTGTATGTGTGTGTGTCGGTGTGTGGGTGCAACGCAATTGCATTTCTCACGTTAGCGCAAAATTTGACAACAACAAGAACAAGAAAAAATGTTGCAGCTAAAATGCGAGTCAAAGCGCAATATCAATTCGCCTGTCTAAAGCAAAACATATCAAAAATTTGCGTGGAAAAAACAAGAAGCCGTCCATAATAAAAAGGCCAAGCGAACACACGCACACACACACATGTATTTTGTGATATGTGAAGTTTGTGCAAAATAGTCGAGAGGGGGTGGAGTTGAGGGAGTCCTATCATAATAACAAATAAATGTAAATGATAATAGTAAATAAAAAACGAATTACTAAACAACACACAATCCGCTTCATATCCAATCATGTGATGCCACCCAAATACCCCTATAAATATATATAGAGAGAAAAGAGCGACATATAGAAACAGAGAGAGAGAGAGAGAGAGAGAGGTAGATATATGTGTACGGTGTAGAGCACACGATATGCGTGCAAAGGAGTTCGGGATTGAGACAAGTAACAACAGTTGTTGTTAGACAAGCAGAGCAGGAAGCGGCCCACACATAAGGATAACAACATTTATGCCAACTATTTGAGTAAATTGATACGGCGCCTTGGCAAATGAAGCAACGACCCACCAAATATAGCCAGAGAATAAACATAGCGTACGACCTCCTTCCAGTACACTAAGAGAATGACTTATCTAATACGCGTCGAATTGCATATAAACATAAAAGTTCTAATGGCTATAAACGAAATAAATACATATATACATATGTATATGTATATATATGTTAAAACTCAATTTTATTGGTTGTAAATACGTTCCTTGGTAGTTTCTGTTGCTCAGGTTGGGTCTATGGGGTTTCTCTCTCTCTCTCTGTGCTCACTAGTTTCTTTAAGTGTATTGACTGGCTACTTAAATACACATTCAGATTTTAAGTGAATAGGTTCTTCTATAAAACAGCGATTACACAGGCAAAGAAAATTGATGTATATATATACATTCAAGTTGGTTTCAATTCTATATTACATTTAACGACTACAAGAATAAATAAATCCCTGAAAGCCACTTGTCCAATTCAAATCGGTTGTAGGGACTGGATTAAGTATACAAATTATGAATTATTTCAATAAAGCATCTTCTGCCTCTCCCGCTTGCCACCGCCTGTTGACTTGTGTTAGCAATATTACGAATAATCGAAGAAGCAATTTTACGGCTCTGTATTTATTTACGGCAAATTACTTGAGGTATTTAATTAGTTAAACAATATGAGGTTGGATATTACCAAGACTCTCTCATTCACTGCGTAACTCGGAGTCTTGAATTGCAAATATTTTCGGATTAACTCAGTCCAAAATATTTGCAGCTTTAAACAAATTTGAAAGCATTAAAATTGATTAGAATTTAATTTGTCCAAATAAATTATGTACAATGTGTAAATTATAAGAAAGTACACATGCACACAAATGCCCACACGCACACACACACACACACACACACATACACGCACCCCCATATGGGCAATTGGATTGATACTGAAAAGGGATGCAAGCAAATTAGTTAAAAACCAATTAAAATTACGCATACGCCGCATAGGCCGCACGCCCAATTTGTAAACCAGTTTGATAGTCGATGCATATATATTTATATTATAATGTGCTATACATACATACGTATATTTGAGCGCACACAACCAATACGCACAAATGCGTTGAGAAAGTTTTTCTAAAAATCCAAATTAGAATGTCAATAAAATACGCTTTTAATGAAATAATTAATTAGATTTTGCACATCAACAAACCGAGGCGCAATTCGTACACACACACAACTGTACACTGAAATATATAGATATGGTATATACATATGTATATGTATTCGATGTCTATTTACTTGCATTAAGCGGTCATCGCATCAGCTCACCTGTCGTCCCGCATCCCCTCCCCCTCCCCCTGCATTCTATTGTATTTTAGATTTTCAATTCGCATGCGTTTCTCTGCTTTTTTCTTCTTCTTATTATTAGTTCTGGTTTCGTTGCGCGCGATTTATTCGATTTTCAATTATTTAAATGGTTTTCATTTCGGACCCACACACAATTCTAATTTGCATTTAGAGGGAGAGGGAGAAGAGTCGCCCCTGTCTCTAGCCCCGCCCCCCAGACACGCATCAAAGTGCCACTGAGTGGCACAAAAACTAAAAATGTCTGAGCAGATAGATAACAGAAACAATAAGAGCCGCAGCAGCAGTAGAAACAGCAACCAGAATTGACTTTTCCTAATTGCCTCAGAGAACTTAAATTGAGACATGAAATTGAATAATTCAAAATAATTAGCCAGCCAGGACAGACAGAGAGAGGCAGACAGCCAGTCGGTCGAGCAGCGTAATTGCATTAACGATTTTGATAAATGACAATCGCTCGAAAGTCTCCTTCGACTTTGACGCACACAATCTTAGCACCTGAAATATGGCTCAGTAACATTTAAATATGTTAAGTATGTACAAGCTGAAATTCGAAAAAGTCTCATTAAAGACATAACTGGAAAGTCCAGGCAAAAAATACATTATAACTATTGGAATGGAAACTTATAAAGAAACTTGGATAAATGAGTCCTCAAAATAAAGAAAAACATCACTTACACCAGTCAAGTCCCACTGAGGTTAAGAAATTTTTAAGTCAAGAAGTTTAGAATTGAAACATAAATGCAGTTGAAATATGAAGATAAATAGTAAATGAAATCTAGAATTAAGACTAAAATTATTTTAAATGGAATGGAGAATGAAGTGAATTCAGTTATTTTGGAAAAGATTAAAACAAATATTAACAAATATAAAACAATATTATATTATATATTGAATTATATACCATAAAACAAAAAGTCATGAATGGTAATATATTTTAAATAATCTACAAAATTCAAAGCACTATGAATATTTTCAGTTCTGATGCGGAAGTCAAGCAAGTGAATACAAAATTACATTTAACTTCAAATTAGGGAAAGTGTGAAGAAAGTCTATGTGAAGTTCATAAAAATTATTCAGTAAAGTGAAAAAAAAAACAAAAAACACACAGTATCAATCAGTCTATAAACAAAAACTTAGATTCGGCAA